TGGGTTCGCAAAGCTGCGCCTCAGGGATTCCAGCGGCCCCCAACCTAGCGGCCACATATAAATCACCCTCACTAAAGATGAAGATCGGGAAGAACGGCGACTGGTCTTCGGAGGCCAACCAACTTTTCCTCAAGCTCCTCGCCAAGCGCAAGCGCATCGCCAAGGCGATCCCCCAGGCTATCTTGGATGCCCCGCTCGCCATCAAGGACGCGAGTGGAGTCAACAATCAAAGTCAGGTCATGGATCCCGGTAACGCGGCCGAGCACAACCATAACCACGATGACAAGGCGGTGGAGCACAACCAAGAAGATGATGACTCAGGAAATCACCGGACTTCATCCACTTCCCCCAATGACATAGGTCTGTGGTACGCACCCCTAAAACTCATCGTCACCCTCATGATCGACATCACCATCGACATCTTCGTCCTCAACACCATCATAATCATCGTCTTCGTCGGCGTCGTCATCTCCGTCACGTCCATTGTGCCTTCCTCTGTTTCCATGTCCCCGATCAACCTAAGTTTACGCTTTGTGTCCATCACCCATGTATCATATGCATAAAGACATACATACGGGTTTACGCATATTGCATATACATGATGTTGTAGCTGGTGTGGGTACCAAGGCTTCCAAGCAATGCTGCGGAATGGAAGGGTTCTTCCAGTTGTTTCGATTTCATTGAGTCATATTTGGGGGGTTCTTTCCGAATAAAGCCAAAAAAGCGTGGATCTTTGGAGGGAAGCATAAGTATATATATATATATACATATATATGCAAATATATTCACACACACATATATATATATATATATATAGACTTTTCCTATATCTGGAGAAACATTGCCGTCTTGGATTTACCATAGACCCGCACACAGCAATACCGAGCACTTCGCCTGCAAAAGTCGTCGGAACATCTGCAACAGCTGGGTTGGTAGGGTACTTTGGTATGTACTTGGTGCAAAGTCTATGGCTGTCGGTTTTGTAGGGTTTTGGGCTTCGGGTTCAGGGTAGGGTTTTCCGGCACTTTAGTTATTTCCGTCCGGTTCTGCGAGGCTGCTGGGCTGCTTTGCCCGAGTCTAAGGGTGTGCGGATAACAGGTGTTATGGCTAGGTGGGGTTTGGGGTTTACGTTTACGGGTTGGGGCTTCTGAAGGAGGAGCGTTTCACAGCTGTAAGGTTTACGCCTTTGAAGGGCATGAAACTGGATTAATTAATGGTGTAGAGTCTACGTCTCCGGTAGATTTGGAATTCCTTCTAGGGGGCCCCAAAAGCACATTAACATTTAGCATTTTGACGGGATATCCCTACCTTATCGGCCTTCAGTACAAGGGGATTTACATGGGATGTTCCTATCCTAGTTATTGCTTAGGTGCTTTTGGGGGGCCCTATTTTCCACACTTACTACAACTACGAGCACCCCATCGTCGTTCTGATAGACTGTTTTCGGCACTCGAGGCCTTTATAGAACAGCCATGATCTTTCGCTGGGTTCCAAGTTTGGCAACCCAAGTCCTAATGTCCGAGCCCGAAACCGGAACCCCTAAACCCTTAAATCCTTAAAACCTTAAACCCTGAAACCTCAAACATAAACACAATCCAGAAGTCAAGCACCACCTAAATCCCTAAACCCTAAGAGCCCCAAGAGCAAAGGCTCGAGATAGACCGTTGAAGACCCTGAGACGTTCGTGGCCCTGGCCAGAGACCCTGTAAGCACCGATGGAAGTTTAGGATTTTGGGTTTACGGTGCTCGTTCCACCATATCAAGACGGTGTATAACACCCTAAATAACCCATGAGACCTTTCGACCTTGCAGTCTGAACCCCATAAACCCTGAAGGGTTAGCGGCTGAGGGTTTAGCTTAGGGTTTACAGGTTTTAGTTTAGGGTTTAGGGTTTACAATTAGGCTTTAGGGTTCAGATTAGGGTTTGCAGGGTTTAGTTTAATGTTTATAGGGTTTAGTTTAGGGTTTATGGCTTAGGGTTTAGTTGAGGGTTTAGTGTTTAGGGTTAAACGCCCAAAACAACAAACCCGAAACCATCAACAAACAAAGGCTCGAGTGGTTCTTTGACACCCGGCCATCGCAAGCACCGACAGCGGCATGGTTGCGTTTGGGATGCTAGGGCTTCGGACTTAATGGTGTTTTGGTAGGTTTAGTTAAAGCTTTGAAAGGGTTTCCGAAAGAGGATCCTGTTCCGGGTTCTATACAGGTGCCTTAAACCCTGAACCGTTGGGTTTGGGATTTGGGGCGCTTGACGCCTGGGTTCCTCTAAAGGGTTCGTATAAGGGTTCTATCAGGATTTTGGGTGGAGTGAGGGTTCAGAGGATTTGGGGCAATTCAAGGGGCTTTAGTGTGTGGGGTTAGGGATTAAGATTCACAGCTTTGCGGGGCTTCATGGTGTTGGCGCATGTGGGTTTTTTCTTTGGCTCGGATCCCCAATGCCGATGTACACCCTAAACCCTAAACCCGAAACCCTGTGACGTACTCTTTCGGGCTCCAAATCGGGAAAGCCGTCCGAAGCTCCAACCGCAGGTCTTCAATCCTAAACCCTGATTTCTGGCTGGTTCCGGTCTGTTTTGGGCTAAACCCGAGGCCCGAAACCTTACATGAACCCGAAACCTTAATTCCGAAACTCCAAACCTAAACCCCAAACCCTAAACCCCGAATCCCAATAAATCTCCCCCAATCCGAGGCAGGAAGTGGCGAGTGCTCGGACGTCGAGTTTGCAGAACGTTTGCGGCGTCAGGAGTCCGGACGTCGGGCTATGTGAAGACTTTGTTGAGGGTTCCTTTTAGGGCTCCTCGTGAAGGCTTCTTGAAGGGGTATGTAAAGCTTCTTTAAGAGTTCTTTTAAGGGCTTCTTAGGGACTTCTTGACTTCTTGAGCGGTGAAAAACACCGTTTATTGTTAAGACTTCTTTACTTCTGTAGATGATCTATACCCCTACCCTCAAAGGACTCATATTTTAAGGCTTTTGGGCCCAAAGACCCTGTTATATAAGGCTTTTGGGCTGTTTTGATGCTAAGGGATAGTGATTAGGAGTTTCACTTTTTAGGGCGTGACTTAGGTTCCGACCTTCGGGTTGATTCATGTGACGTAATGTAGGGGCCTAGATGATTGCCCACATAATTTTGGGGGTTCCTTAGTATAATGATGGTACAATGGGCCCCAAAACCCTATTCTAATTATTAAGGCCCCTACATTCGGGGCTTGAAATGATGTTCCTGAAGTTCGGGCCTCCCATCGCTTGTAGCGTAAAGAGGTGCCTGGTCCAGAAATTAGGGTTGCTCCATAGATTATAGCGTTCCTGAAAGTAGGGTTCCTCCATACATGGTATGATTATAGTGTAGAAAGCCCTACTTGCAGGCTTATTTCCAGGAAACAATCAACGACTCGTAGCCCATAAAGGACCATAAAGGAGCCCGACAAATGGGAACAACGCCTCCTGAACTCTTGAAGCCTTGAACCAGAATCCCGATAGCAAACCCAAACCCGAACCCCAATTGCAGCCGTCCCATCATACCTTACCCAGATTTTAAAAATATCCCGTAATTAAAGAATATTATTATACATAGATCATAATAGAGATCCGATCCGGGCACTGCCGATCTCCCCGAAACCCCAAAACCCCTATGCCCCAAACCTACACGCTAAATCCTACACCCTACACCCCTAAACCGTACCTGTAGCCAAACAGACCTACCTTTTCAGGGGATCTATATGTAGAAACCAACATAAAGAATCCTAAACGGGCAGGTCTTTTCGGCTACACTTACACCCTAAACCCCTACACCCCTAAACCCTACACCCCTAAACTGCCCATCTCCCCATCTCCTCCAATGCAGGACGCAGCTGGGGTGGGCTTGCCATCGTCTGCCGGCAGGGATCTCCTCAGGCTCACGTCTCGGGTCCGCGGTTTAGAGGTTAGGGTTTAGGGTTAGGAGGTTTGGGGTTTAGCGTTTTGCATGAAATCAGAAACCTTCTTTCTAACTGGACGCCCAAGCTGGCTTGTCGGTTCCACCATATCGGTCGAAACAGCTCATAAAGCGCAGCAAATTGCGAGACTGCATGCATCGTGCCGTTGAGTGTTTTGCACCACTCTGCGTAGAGCGTTCTCGAGCAAATGGGTACTGTACTTGCACACCTCACTCCTGCATAGATACATACATACATACATACATACATACATACGTACGTACATACATACATACAATATATACACCCACGTCGCGATTCCAAGGTTCCGCCAGCACCATAGTCTTGTAGACGAAGATTGCCACACCATAACCTGGATCAATTTCCTTGGATGTTACCTTAGTGGGAAGTTCTGACGAAACGCGGTTTAGGGTAGGTCTTCAAGTAGGGGTCTTCACACCTACCGTCCTACAGAGCCCACACTTCCAGAGCAGCCGAGGCCGCCGAAGCTACAGCGCACAAAACACAGTCACAGGTAATCTTCACTTGTCGTCGTCATTGCCAGCCTGAGGCTTAAATTCACAGACATCCACATTGTACACATGCTCAGCCACTCATTGCCGCAGTCATGCATATAACATGTTGTGACGTGCATCTTGCAACCAAGCAATCAATGCACATACAAGTTGAGGCTGGAATCTTGATCCGCTCACAGCGGCTCGACCACCATGCACTTGCGTAACAGTGCAAGCGTGATTTAGACATGATTGCACTTCAGATCTCAACAGGTTTACGTTTGAGTTTCGGGTTCAGGGTTTCGCAGTTCGGCATTGAGGAGGTTTCCCGGAAGCCCGAAGCCCTAGCGAACCTTCAACCTTAATTAAACGCTAAGCCGCAAAACCCTGAACCTTAAACCCTAAACCGTAAACAAAGAACACAAAATACTGGACCCTTAACCTTAACCCCCCGACACCCGCCAAGCCTTGAACCCAAAACCCTGATTTGTTGTTTTTCTTTATCCCGACATCTTGTTTTGAAGCACAGATCCGAACCCTTTTCGTCCACATTCAGAACCCCTTTTAAAAATTTTACCCGAAGCCTTTTAAACAAAGAATCCGACACCTTGAAAGCCCCGCAACCTGGCGCTTGGTGAGAGGCGGCTGCTGCGCTGGTCACCCAATGAACGCCTCTCGGCCAAGGCGAGGAATCATTTACAGAAAGAGTTTTTACTGTGTTCTAAGCATAGGGTTTATATGGTTCAGGCCTAAGTTTAGGGTTTCAGGGTTTTAGGGTTTAGGGTTTTAGGGTAAGTCAGAGTGTCTTCAGTTGACACGTCGCGGCAACGGGCAGGAAACATTCGGGTCCGCTGTCGAGCCCTAAACCCCTATATCCTAAACCCTAAGGTGTAGCCCAGTAGGGGCCCAAGCTGTGAGAAGTTGCTCATAGGCTCCATACTGCTTCCTTTCCCAGAGGCTCCACATATAGTACCATTATGGAATTAGGTCCCAAAAGGCCTTGCTTATTAAGGCTTTAGGGACCTAATTCCATAGTGGCACTATATATGGAGCCTCTGGGTTTTTGTGGCTTCTGTTTTGGGGATCCGTCTTCTCAAGTAATCCCAAGAAGGAACTACTATGGAGCCTATGGGTATCCTGCCCTGAAATCCTACCAAAAATCGTTTTACATAAGCCTTGTATCAAACCCTTGTAAGACCCACAAGACCCGATCAAAATTTTTGTATGACCCAAGTGGAACCCTTCGAAGCCTCTGCGCGGAACCCAAATCCTAAACCGTCTAAACCCTACCTGGAGCTCCAAAACCGTACCGTTTTACGGGTTCCACCCTCTGAACTATTTTGTAGGGTTTGGGGTCACAGGTATATTCTGGCTCCTAAGCCCTACGCTCCAGACCCTCATCCCTACGCGCTAAACCCCAAGCCCCACGAGAGGAGGCTCTGAAGCATCCGTGGTTTGACGATGGCGTGGATCTGCCGCCGCTGCGAGTCTTCAAGTCCTGAGCTTGGCTTTTTCAACCGAAGGGTCCATTTTTGGGCTTAGAGTCTATAGGGTCTATAGGGTTTAGGGGTTTAGGGTTCCCAAAGTACCGAAATTTGGGCTATCCTGAAGGGCTCCTTTAGTGGAATTTACAGGATGTCCCTAGTGGTTCTATGGGGGTTTAGGGTTTGTGGGTTTGGGGTCCCGGGCTCAGGGCTGAAGAAGTCGGGAAGTTTTTGAGTCTCCGGTTTAGACAGCTTGGCTGCTTTGGAAGATTCGAAAGGCCCTATATAGCCCTAATAAGCCTCAGAGCAGCCCAGAAGCCTTTAATAGCAGGGTCTTGGGGCCCAAAAGCCTTAAGATATGAGTCCAGAGAGCCTTAGGGTAAACCGTAAACTGTCGGGTTTGCGGTTTCGGGTTTCCAGGTATTCGTTTGGGGTTCGGGGTTTTAAGGGTTCAGGTGTAAGGGTTTAGGGGGGTGTTTTGGAAGTCCTGGGTTCAGCATTTCTGGCCGTATGTGTTCGCAGTGGTGGTTTGGCAAACGACAGTAAAGGGTTTTTGAGGGGGGCTTTATTACGGCGGCTTAAGTCAGGTGAAGGCAGATTTAGGAAGGAACCCCAGACCCTAAACCCTAAGCTCTAAACCCTAAGCCCTAAACCCTAGGCTAGGTGAATCGGGCTTGACACGAGTTCTACCTCTATGCACCGTACTTGTAGCCTTGCTTGCAATCACCCAGTGTCTTGCGAAATCCACTTGGAGCCTAGACCCGAAATTTTATGCTTCTCCTATATATATATATATACGTATATAGAGTTATCCATAATATACATATATGTGCATATATATATATATACAGGTATATATATATATATACATACATATATATATATATATACACACACACACGTACATGCCCGAATGGATTTCCGAGGCCCTGAACTTAGACCTCAACGACCGGGCCTCCAAAGCGCCCAGGTCCACGACCTCAGGTCTGGCTGCAGCCCGTGGCTCAGAAGGGTTCTGCGGGTGCAGCGCTTTTAGGTTTTGGGGTTTAGGTTTGGGGGGTTTAGGGTTTAGGTTTGGGGAGTTTAGGGTTTAGGGTTTAGGTTTTAGGGGTTTAGGGTTTAGGGTTTAGGTTTTAGAGTTTAGGCTTTAGGCTTTAGGGTTTCGGGTTTAGGGTTTGGGGTTTGGGGTTAAGGATTTACTTTAAGCAGCCTCTTTCAGGGAGGGTTCCAGAAGGGTTGTATGAGAGTCTGGTGTTCAGGAAGTCAAGTTAAGTTACCATAATTTACAAAGTCCTAAACCATCGACGGTTTCATTTTGCTGTGGGGTTTCAGCACATTACGGCAGAATGTGGGCACCAGTGCCACCGATCGTTGAAAGCTTCCGAGAATGAAGGGCACCGGTCATAGAGATCCACGCTGCAGGGTGTAGGCCCAGGCTTGAAAACAAAAGGATCTCTATTCTTCGATCGCCGGAAGCGGATTTGCATGGATTCGCATCCCTGCGAACCCCCATATTGAGCTTTACAGTATTTGGCTTTGAAGCGCGTGAAGCCTACATCCTGCTTGACGGTGTTCTTCTGAGATATAACACTTGACTGCTCCAACTTCGGCGTCGCCTCTACAAACCTGACGAGACTCCACATAGTCTCACCAAACAAAAAGCCCCTCGAAAGGCCCTGAACCCTATACCCTAAGCCCTAAACCCTAGGCCCTAAGCCCTAAACCTTCAGCCCTAAACCCTAAACCTTCAGCCCCAAACCCGAAGCCTTCAGCCCCAAGCCCTAAACCCCATTATTGTCGGGAAGCCTCTGATCTCGCTTTTAGATCTTAGCAGCCTAAACCCGCGATCCTCATGTCCGAAGCCGGAGTGCGGGCAGGGACACCAGCAGCACAATCACCAAAGTAATATAGGGGCCTAAATAACCCTAAACCCTAAACCCTAAACTCTACTATTTTCGAATTCCCTTACTATAGTTATGTTAGTATATAGAGGAGGCCAGAACCCCCGTCTAATTATCTACATTAGGTCGGTGGTCTCTTGACTTGGGGTTTCTGGTTAAAGAGGCTGCATATTAGGCAGTATAAGGAACAGATAAAGAGACCACCAGCCCTTTTAATTAAATCCCTAGTCATACCCTGCCCCTTTGTTAGGGTACCTACTTTGTATAAATAAGAGTTCCTCACAATAAAACTAGGTACCCTAAAAAGGGGTAGGGTATGATCCTCTGTATTATAGGTACCTTAACTCCTTAAGTAGGGCTTCGTAGTTGGTAGGATCTCCTTGTTAAGTCCTAGAAGCTAGGTTTGCTTGGGTTCATGTAAACTTTAAACAACCATCGAGAACCTAGACCAACTAAAGGCAAAGCTTCCTTTCTGAAAAGGTCCTATGTACCTAAATAGGTTCCTTTAAGGGTTTTTAATGGTTTAGGGTTTTAGGGTTCGTTCAAGGGGGTTCCTGTAGTAGAATGTAGGGCTTCTATACCAGGAATTACGATTCTGATTTAGGGAAGTATCGCGCATAACAGTACATAGGATCCCTTGGGTTACTAGTTAGTATCCTTACCGGTGCCTTACAGGAACCCTTTAAGGATCCCTCAAAGGAACCCTAAACCGCTAGCAGTGCATAGGACCCTTTGGGTTCTGAGTTTCTTTAAACGTCGGGGCAGGCTCCCTTCGATGCAGAGCCTCAGGAACGACGGGAGGAGGCGTCCTGAGGGCATCTTTGGGTTTAGTACAGTATGTAGTAGGCCTCACTGATTAGAACAGAGTTTACGGTCTGGTATAGTTTACTTTCCATTAAATTACTTTCTACTGCAATTAAGGGGAAACGATTATTAGGTATTCCGATCCCTACATTGGGTTGGAGGTTTTGGAGTCTACATAGAACGGTGGCTACAGGCCGGGTTTGTGTAGTTCATTTGGGTATCAAAGGGTGGTGTCGAGGTTTTGCGGCGTTTCTGGCCATCAGGAATCAGGGCTTACCGGTTTATGGTTTGAGGGCTTAGGGTTTTTCAGGGCTTTGGGCGGAGGGGGCTTCAGGTTTGAGTATCTTGTTCAAGGCTGCGCGATTCCGAGGTGGTATCCTAAACCCTAAACCCTAAGCCCTAAACCCTATATGTTGGTGAACTGGGATGGCTCGCGCCGTCATTCCAGTCATTTTGGGACTGGAATTCCGGTTTCTTGACTACAGGATGTCCCTCAGAGCTCAGCTGCCTATGTGGGTAGTTCTCTG